TCCAGACTGGTGCTGGGACTGGGACCACGACGACAAGATGTCCCCTATCGGATATATCGATCCCTGTGTCTACGAGTCCGACTGGGATTGGACCCCGATCGGCTTTCCTGGGTGCTACGACGGGCCAGACTACACTCCCCCACTGGGGCTGGTAATCAGCAATGAGCACGCGCGATATCCCTGGACCAAGGCCGCCAGCCCCAAAGAGCAGGCGAAGGAGCAGGAGCTCCGCGATGCAGGGCAAGCGCTGGCCGGTTCCTTGGCCATGCGGGGTGCGTCCATTTCCTCGGCTGGACCGTCTGCCGACGTACCGCCGCCCCCTCCCGGGCCTCCGCCCGAGGCGCAAGCGGCCCTTCACGGGCCTCCCCCCGCGGCGTCTTCCCCAGCCGGCCCTAGCGACTCCGGGAGCACCCGGACCCATCCAAATGCCCCGTCAAGGCCGGAACACCGGCCCCACCTTCGCCAGGGGCCGCCGGCAGCATCGAAGAGCGGCACACGCAACTCGCCAAGAACGTCGAGAGCATCTGCAGCGTCCCCTGGTCCATTGTCAAGAGCAGCGCTGCGTCGCGCCCCTGCCTCGGACCCGCCCCTGGAGCAGCCCCGCTGCAGTCAGACTGGATACGACGGCTGAAGACATGCGGAAAGGAGCTCAAGAGAGTCTTCTTCACCGAGTTCTATGCGGAAGTAGAACCCCTGACGACGGCACCACGACGACCCGTCACATTATCGCCAGCAAGACCACCTGCGCTCTGGACGCGCAGATCCCCCCCTGCTTCTGTTAAGGCCCAGTAAAGCGACCGGCGTGCTGACCCCCCCCCCCTTCGCGAAAGGAGGTGCGTCGCGCATTCGTCGCCCGTGCGCCGCCCGTGCGTCGGCCGCCGAAAAGGCCAGCCGCCCTCTCGAACGTGCACGTCGCCCTCGCAAGGGGGATATTTGGCGAGTGCGCCGCCAGCGCGGCGGACACCCACGGGGCGGATCGCACGCGCGTCGCCCTCTCCGCGGCCGCTGGAAAGGCTGGTCGCCTTCGGGAAAAATAAAGTCGCCCACGCTGCAGCCCTCTTGGCGAGAAGAAGGCGGCCGCTGGGCTACCTCGGCAGATCAGCAAATCCCCCTAACATTACAAATGCAACGACGCTGCTGAACGCAGCCCGGCGATAAGCCAGCAGGTCCCCGCAGCCGCCGCCACAGCCGCTGCAAACGCCGCCAGCGCCAAAACGACCGCCGCCACGATCACCACAAACGGATGCGACCGCAACCACATCCACCGCGACGATTACGACCAACACCATTTACCGCCATAAACACCACCACGACCACCACGCTTCTCGCGACCACCACAACGACCGACACCAGCACGATCACCGACGTGACCACCACCAGCCCGCCCACCACCAGCGGCGCGACCGCCGTCAACGCGACCAAGGCGACGAACGCGACCACGACCATGATCACCAACATGACCATTACAGAAGCACCCGCCCACTCCGTCCTCCCACCCACCCCACTCCCCTGCCGGGCCGCCCTTGACGCCGCGCCCGCCTCGCGCCAGTGCCCCTCCCCCCTCCTGTTCTCCTCGTCATCTTCCTCTTCCACCGCCAGCGGCGGGGCCGTTCGCGGAAGGCGGGGGCGCCGCTCGCGGCGACGCGCCGCGGCCGTGGAAGGGGGGCCGAAGGAGAAAAGAAAATGAAGAGGGACACGGGGTGGCAAAGGACAAAAAAAAACAAAGGCGAGAGAGGAGGGGCGAGGGACAGACAGAGGGGGGCCGGTAGAAAGGAGGAGGAGAAGGGGAGGAGAGAGGGAGACGAGGCAGGAGAGAGGACGAAGGAGGAGGAATGACAAAAGAGGAGGGACGACGAGGAAGGAAAAGGGAAATAACAGGGGCAAGCACCGCCCTTCCTGGCGCAATGGAGGACGCAGCCGCCGCCACTTGTGAACAGCGCAAGCACGGCGGGCCGACGGCCGCTGCGCATTGCTGCTCGGCGAAATGCTAGGGGCGGGCAAAGTCGCGACTGCGTCGCGCATGCGTCGCGCGTGCGTCGCGCGTGCGTCGCGCGTGCGTCGCGCGTGCGTCGCGCGTGCGTCGCGCGTGCGTCGCGCGTGCGTCGCGCGCGTCGCGCGTGCGTCGCGCGTGCGTCGCGCGGGTCGATCGTGCGTCGCGCGCTGGCAGGGGTGCGTCGCGCGCGGGTCGGGGTGCGTCGCGCGCGCGTCGCGCGCGCGTCGCGCGTGCGTCGCTCGGCGTCGCTCGGGTCGTTCGCGCGTCGCGCGCAGGTCGCGCGCGAATCGCTCGAAGGGCGCCGTGGGCTCCTGACGGCATGTGAACTGCACGGCCCGCTGGCGAAACAATCAGGGGATGCGCGCGGCAATCGTAGACATGGCGAGACACGCGCGTGAGAACTAGTTAACGCGAGGAGACCAATAGACGACATGGAGATGCAGCGCGCACGGACTAATCCATTTCAAGCGCAAGCCCCGCCAGATTTTGAACATCGGTCCGTCGCTGCAGCAATTTGGCGACGTCTCGCTCGCCGATGCATTGGGGGGGGGGAAAGAGGATGGAAGTGAGGCGAGGGAAGGACGGGCGGAAATGGGAACGGACGGGCGAGGAGGGGGCGCGCGGGGGCGGCGCAGCGGCGGCGGGAGCGATGGAAGTGGATCGAAGGGAGGCGAAGAGAGCGAGGAGGGCGAGAAGAAATTCCAGGAGGGTGGAAGGACAACGGGGGGTGAGTAGGGAGGCGGACAGGACGGCAGCCTGACACAAAAGAACTGCACACAAACTTCGCAAACGTGACAAAACGCGCAGCGCATTGGACGAAGGGAAGAGGAAGGAAGAGGGGGGGGGGCAGGAGGATTGGCGCGAAACGACATGGGGGTGCGGGGCGCGATGCGACGGGGCGAAGTGGCGCCGCGTCGCGCGACGTGACGTCACCCCCACCGTGGCGCGACACGCAAAGCCCCCAATCAACGCGAGGCGTCTTCGTCCTCAGCAACGGTTGGCGCCCCCGACAATGAGCAACACCAGATCCTCTTGCGCCGAATTGGGAACAGAACGCGTTGGTGGACCGTCGAACTAGGAGTGCGCCGCGACAGCCAAAATGGCTGTTGGTGCACCGGCGTCGGAAACCTATATATCGCCAGAGAAATTCCGAAGTCGCGCCATATGTCGCCCACGCACTCTGGGAGGCCGGGATTCGGGACAGAGACGCAAACCAGGGCCGGCGCACGGGCGACGCTCGGGCGACGCACTGAACGAAACTTAAAGGGGGGGGGGTGGTCGCTTCACTGGGCCTTAACACCTGCTTCTCCCCCGGAGATCAATGCGAAGAGCTCCTGGATCGGTGCCAACTGCATGATCAGATCAGAGGCCAGCGAGAAGGCCAAAGCGAATACTACCTGCTCCTGCGGGCCAACAAGTGGGCCATGGAATGAACGGAGGGAGGCGTGGCGCAAGGCACCCCCAATCCCTTCATGGTTTCCAAGACCTCACCAACGGTGGACTTCCTGGCTGAGATGACACCTGTCTGGCCCCCAGCTCCTGGCGCCAAGGTCTCGGGCACGCACCGCAACGCCCCCGCCCCGCAGCCGCCTGTGCCGGGCGGGGTTGCGGGACCTGTCTAAGGGAACAAAAAGTGGCATAAACACGGATCGGCGCTGGGGCCCCCCGGCGGCGCCTCCGGCGCCGACCCTGGCGCGCTCCGCGCGCCAGGGAAGGGGGGTCCAGCGCCGATCCGAGAAATCCGCGCGGACCTCCGAGTTTTTATGTTAATGCAATGGCTCGTTCCCCTGATCTTCTGGGGTGGATCACTTCTGTGGCCGATGCCCTGCCCGAAGGTCTACGGCCAGGCCTACGAGCAGGTGTATCGTTCCTCTACTGTAACGTCCAGGCGAGACCTATGTTTATGTGACTTCTTGTTTCCCGTCCCCGATGTCAGGCCATGCTGGGCCAAAAGGCTGGCCAACCACGGCCCGAAATTGCGAGAACACTCCACGCGCTTCCCAGTGCACCTGGTGTCGCGTTCTGCTCACGTGGACCCCCAGGGGCCTCGGTGCCCAAGCCACGCGATTCGTCCCAGCCTGTCGGTCCTCGACGTTGTCGCAAATGCGGAGCCAAACCGGCCTGCGAGAGGCAAGGATCGGGCGGTGGGCGCCGGCGTGCTGGCGCGGCCGCCGCGCCGGAGAGGGGACCGGGGGACGCGCCGCCTCGGAGACGAAGTCCCGCGCCTCGCGGGAGCCTCTTGGGCACTCGCGGTTCCTCCTATTCCTCCTCCTCCTCCTCCAATTCCTCCTCCTCCTCGTCATAATCATCATCATCATCATCATCATCATCATCATCATCATCATCATCATCATCATCATCATCATCATCATCATCAGCATCATCATCATCATCATCATCATCATCATCATCATCATCATCATCATCATCATCATCATCATCGTCGTCATAATCATCATCATCATCATCATCATCATCATCATCATCATCATCATCATCATCATCATCATCAGCATCAGAATCATCAGCATCATCAGCAGAGTCATCATCATCATCATCATCATCATCATCATCATCATCATCATCATCATCATCATCATCATCATCATCATAATCGTCATCATCAGCAGCATCATCACCATCATCATCATCGCCCTCGCCCTCGCCCTCGCCCTCCCCCTCCTCCACCTGTTCCACATAATCCTCTTCGTCCTCGTCCTCCTCTTCTTTCATCCCTGCCTTCTCCCGCTCTCCTCCTCGAGGCATCCTCCGCACACTCTCCTGTTCCCTCCCCCGTCCCTCTCATCCATCCCATGTGTTGCCCCTATCCTACTGTTCCCTCGTCACCCTCCACTTCGCATTTCGAAACAAATACCATTGCAAGTATTGCATCCGTGCTAACAAATCTAGCATCGTCGCTGGTATATGATGTTCCCCTTTCCCTGCCCCCACCCCACCACCGACCCCCTCTCGTGCGTGCCCCCCTCAGCCGGGGGGATCGGAGGTCCTGCCGGCATCCGCGTTGTCTGCCGGGCAGTAGAAGTCCGGGAACGCGCCCGACAGGCAGACTGCGTTCTGCCCCAGCGTTGGGGTGCAGTATTCGCCTGGAGGGAAGAAGGCCCAGACTTCCAGAGCCGTTCAGGGCTCAACGACTTATGCTGTCCCTCGACTCGCGCTAGAACGTTCGCGACCTGCCCCAGCTGCTCCTGGGAAATATCCGGATGTACCTCGGTGTATACGGATTTGCCTAAATCTTTCTGGATTGACTTCGATGGTCTTGCTTAATCTCCGCGAGTCCATTGGCGAAAAAACGTCAAGGCCGCAAGGCCGTATGGACAGTGACTCGGCAATATATCGAGTCTATGGTGTTCTTGATTTTTCGGCCTCTGGGGGCCGCTTTTGGGCCTCAGGATGAAAAGACCCCCCTTTGGAAAGGGGTCGAAAGGTCAGGGGCGCCACGAGGTCTGGTGGGGGAGGAGGGGGGGGAGGAGGGGGGGGAGGAGGGGGGAGGAGGTCTGGGGGAGGAGGGGGGGGGGAGGGTGAGCAGCACGCCCCTTTTCTTCCTTTCCTCCTCCACCCCCCCCCCTCCACCCCCCTCTACCCCCTCTCCCTCTCCTCACTCCCCCCCCGCTCCCCCCTCGACTTCACCCACCCTGACCCCCCCCCCCTCCTCCTCCTCTTTGTGCCTGAGGGTTCGCTGGCTCGCTCGGACCTGACAACTCAAATCTCCTCCCGATCCGATTTCCATGCGCGCCAAAAACCTTCTAATCACTGGGCCCAAGGGTCACCGCCCCCAAAAGCTGTGGGACCTGTCCAAAACCGAGCTGACGCTCTTATGCGCAACTTCCTGGATGCTTTTCTCAAAGGCGTTACGCAGTATCCACACTGTTTCTGAGATCTTGCTGTCCCATTATTTGAGAGCGCTCCCAGAACTCATCACACCAATCTCCTCAACCTCCTGAAACCTCGGAGGAGGTGAGGAAATGGAGGGGAAGGGGGCGGAGAGAGGAGGGGCTCGAGAATAGACTCCGCCATTCGCCTGCAGGAACGTCCGCGCAGTTCGTCCCCTCGAAGAGCGGGCAGGACTTGCACGCAACACCAGAAGAGTTGACCACCTCGCAGGGGCCGTCTGCTGGCTCCGGGCACATGCCGCATGTGCCGTCGATCCCCTGTCCGCACTCCGTGCACTCCTTGGAGAGGGCATGGGAGGGGACACTTGGGGGACGGGAGAGGGAGAGGGCAAGGGAGTGGAAGGGAGCAGAGGGGATCATGATGCGAGTAGAGGAGCAAAACACGGCATACACATAAACTTTTGGAGGTCCGCGCGGCTTTCTTGGATCTGACCTGGACCCCCCTCCCTGGCGCGCGGAGCGCGCCAGTGGCAGCGCCGGAGGCGCCGCCAGGGGGGCCCAGCGCGGATCCAAGAAATCCGCACGGAGCGCCAAAAGTTTGTGTATGGCGTTTTGTCTTCTTCGAGAGGGGCAGGGGGCGGGGCGTGCGAGGAGGGAGGGGAGGAGCAGGGGAGAGGGAGAGGGCCACAGAGGGCCACCGAGCCCGAGACCCGCTGGGCTATCCTCGCAGGCGTGGCAAAGCCCGTCGTCCCCGCAGAGGGTACCTGCCCCGCACTCGTCGTGGGCGTCGCAGAACGTGAGGTTGGCCGCACTGCACGTGGCACAGCACAAATCCCAGACCGTCTCGTTGACGTCATCGGAGTAGCAGCCAATGATGGCACTCGGGCAGTCGGAGACCCCCTCGGGGGCGTCCGCGCCGAAGTACTGCGACAGCCACTCAATGAATGCGGCGTCCTGGCGACCCTCTTCCCTCCTCCTCCTCCTCCTCCTCCTCCTCCTCCTCCTCCTCCTCATCCTCCGGCCCCTCCTCCTCCTCCTCCTCCTCCTCATCCTCCTCCTCCTACTCCTCCTCCTCCTCCTCCCTCCTCCTCCTCCTCCTCCTCCACGTCCTCCTTTTCCTCCTCCACCTCCTCTCCTCCCTCCTCCTCCTCCTCCTCCTCCTCCTCCTCCTCCTCCTCCTCCTCCTCCTCCTCCTCCGCCTCCTCCTCCTCCTCACTCCTCCTCCTCCTCCTCCTCCTCCTCCTCCTCCTCCTCCTCCTCCTCCTCCTCCTCCCTCCGCCTCCTCCTCCTCCTCCTCCTCCTCCCTCCCTCCTCCTCCTCCTCCTCCTCCTCCTCCTCCTCCTCCTCCTCCTCCTCCTCCTCCCTCCTCCTTTAGCCGGCTCGGCTCAGGGTCGGGGCCGCAGGCCCGCCGCCCCCTGCCCGACGCCACCGGCGCCTGGCCCGCACGGACCTGCCCGCCGCCCGTCGCCCTCTCGCGCCGGGGGTGGCGGGCGGTGGAGGCTGAGGAAGGGCAGCCATGGCGGCGGCTCCCCCTCGGGGTTGAGCCGCCCCTCCCGCCCGCGCTGGCCCCTCGCGGCGGCCGGCCGCTGGGCGCCTCCGGCGCGAGCCACCTGATGCTCGAAGTGGCGGACGCGGTGCTGACCGCCCCCTCCCTGCCCGCGGCGGTGTGGCGGCGCGTGGCCTTGGAGACGGCCCGATGGCGCGGCAGATCAAGGCCAAGCGCTTCGTCTCGTGGCGCCGTGCTGCGACGCGCGCCGCGCGCCGCCCGCGCCGCCTGCTGGGCGGGATCGTGTGCCTGGAGGCGCTGCTGGTCGCCTTCTTCGAGCGCTGGCTGCTGCTCGCGCTGGCGCCGCCCCGGGTCAAGGACCTCGAGGGCGGCAAGAATTGGGTGCACGGCGAGGAGTTGCTGCTCCTCGGGGTCCTCTGAGGAGGCCCGTGGCCGGGGGCCTTGTCCGAGGGACGGGCCCCCGCGGTGGTCGGGGGGCCCACCCAGCGAGGGGGCCCCCCGCGGCGGGAGGGTCGGCACCGGCTCCTCCTGTGGCTCGCGGATCCTCCCTCCTCCTTTTCCTCCTCCAAGTCCTCCTTTTCCTCCTCCACCTCCTCCTCCTCCCCCTCCTCCTCCTCATCCTCCTCCGCCTCCTCCGTCTCCTCCGCCTCCTCCTCCTCCTATCCTCCTATCCTCGTCCCTTCCACCTCCTACTCCCCTCCCTCCTCCTCCTCCTCCTCCTCCTCCTCCTCCTCCTCCTCCTCTCCTACTCCCCCGCCTCCTCCTCCTCCTCCTTCTCCTCCTCCTCCTCCTCCTGCCCTCCCCTCCCCCTCTCCTCCTCCTCCTCCTCCTCCTCCTCCTCCTCCTCCTCCTCCTGCTCCTCTTCCTCCTCCTGCCCCTCCTCCGCCTCCTCTCCTCCTTCTCCTCCTCCTCTTCCTTCACCTCCGCCTCCTCCTCCTCCTCCTCCTCATCCTCCTCTTCCTCTTCCTCCTCCTCCTCCTCCCCCTCATCCTCCTCCTGAAACTCATCCTCATCACCATCATCATCATCATCATCATCATCATCATCAGCAGCAGCAGCAGCAGCAGCATCATCAGCAGCAGCATCATCATCATCATCAGCATCATCGTCATCAGCATCGTCATCATCATCATCATCATCATCATCATCATCATCATCATCATCAGCATCAGCATCAGCATCATCATCATCAGCATCAGCAGCCGCAGCGACCGTATCATCACCAGCATCAGCATCATCAGCATAAAACGCAGTTTGGTCATAATCGTCATCATCAGCAGCAGCAGCATAATCATCACATTATCAGCATCAGCATCAGCACCATCATCATCATCATCATCATCAGCATCATCATCATCATCATCATCATCATCAGCACCATCATCAGCATCATCATGATAATTAGCATCATCATCGTCATCGTCATCAGCATCAGCATCATCAGCATCAGCATCATCGCCATAATCAGCATCAGCATCCACATCATCCTAGACATCATCAGCAGCATCATCATGATCCTCATCATCCTCATCATCATCACCATCATCATCAGCACCACCAGCATCACCATCATCATCATTATAAGCATCAGCATCATCACCATTAGCTTAATCAAAATCATAGCAGCAGCATCCTCATGAGCATCAGCATCAGCATTCTCATCAGCAGCATCATCAATATGATAATCGTCCGTATCAGAATCAGCATCAGCACCAACAGAATCATCATCATCAGCATCAGAAGCAGCATCAGCAGCATCACCATCAGCATCATCAGCATCATCAGGTGCATCACCTTCCTCATCGTCATCAGCATCATCAGCAGTCTTAGTCTCAGCGTCAGCATAAGCATCATTCTCATCAGCAGCATTAGCGTGAGCATCATGTCAGCAACAGCATCATAATCATCATTATCAACAGCATCAGCATCAGCATCCGTAACAGCATCAGCATCGTCAGCATCATCGGCATTATCGGCACCAGCATCAACATCAGAATCAGCAGCCTCAGGAGCATCAGCATCATCCTTATCATCAGCATTGGCACCAGCATGAGCATCATCATCAGTATCAACATCCTCATCATCAAAAGCATCGTCGTCAGCATCAGCATCAGCATCGGCATCAGCATCATCATCATCATCAACATCATTATCAGCATCAGCATCAGCATCCGCATAAGCATGAGCTGGTCCATCAGCGCCAGCAGAAACATCAGCACTAGCAGCACCAGTATCGGCATCAGCATCAGCAATCGTCAGCATCAGCAGCAGCATCAGCATTATCATCATCAGCATCAACATCATTATCAGCATCAGCATCGGCATCATCAGCATACGCAGCATCACCATCACCATCATCCTCATCAGAAAAAAATTCGGCATCAGCATCATCCTCATCAGAATCATCCTCACCATCAGCATCAGCTTCAGCATCATCATCAGCATCCTCAGCATCAGCAGCCGCAGCAGCGTCAGCATCATCATCAAGATCAGCATCATCACCAGCAGCATCAGCATCAGCATCAGCGGCATCACGGGCAGCACCAGCATCAGCACCAGCCTCATCAGCATCAGCATCCGCGTCATCATCAGCAACGTCAGCATCATCATCGGTATCATCACCAGCAGCAGCATCATCAGCATCAGCCTCGACAGCATCAGCAGCAGCATCAGCATCAGCAGCATCAGCATCATCAGCATCAGCACCATCATCAGCATCAGCATAAGCATTAGCATTAGCATAAGCATCAGCATCATCAGCATCAGCATCAGCATCACCATCATCATCATCATCATCATCATCATCAGCATCAGCATCATCATCGCCATCGACAGCACCATCATCATCAACATCAGCATCGTCATCAGCATCGGTGTCAGCATCAGCATCATGACCATCATAGAGGCAGCATCAGCATCAGCATCAACACCTGCAGCATCATCATCAGCACCGACATCAGCATCATCATCCTTACAGGCATCAGCATCATCATCAGCATCATCAGCATCATCTGCATCAACATCAGCATCGACATCACCATCATGAACATCACCAGCATCAGCATCATCAGCAGCATCATTAGCATCAGCATCAGCATCAGCATAATCATCATCAGCAGCAGCATCAACATCAACGTCCGAAGCAGCATCAGCATCAGCATCAGCAGCAGCATCAGCATCATCATCAGCATCAGCAGCATCATCAGCATCAGCACCATAATCATCAGCATCAGAAGAATTGGCCTCAGCAGCATCAGCACCAGCACCAGCACCAGCATCATCATCATCAGTATCATCATCATCACCATCGTCGTCATCAGCCTAAGATTCCGCGTCAGCCGCCGCATCATCATCAGTATCAGCATCGACCGCCGCATCATCAGCATCAGCATCAGCGTCAGCAGCAGCAGCATCATCATCATCATCATTACCAGCATCAGCATAAGGATCAGTCTCAGCAGCATCAACATCAGCATCATAAGCATTAGCATCAACATCATCATCATCATCATCATCGTCATCATTAGCATCAGCATCATCAGCATCAGCGTCGGCATCAGCATCATCATCATCATGATCATCATCATCAGCATCATCAGCATCAGCAGCATCATCATCAGCAGCATCATCATCAGCAGCAACATGAGGACCAGCATCATGAGCACCAGCATCAGCATCATCAGCAGCATCAGCACCAGCACCAGCATCAACAACATCATTAGCATCCACAGCATCATCAGCAGCAGCGTCATCGTCATCGGCATCATCAGCATCTGCAGCAGCATCAGCGGCAGCGTCAGCACGATCATCAACAGCATCAGCAGCGGCATCATCAGCATCATCATCAGCATCAACATCGTCATCGTCATCATCATCAGCATCAGCAGCATCATCATAAGCAGCAGCACCATCGTACTCAGCATCAGCATCAGCCTCAGCATCATCAGGATTCGAATCAGCATCAGCATCAGCTTCATCATCATAGTCATCATCGTCAGCATCAGCATCAGCGTCAGCATCAGCATAAGCAGCAGCAGCATAGTCGTCGTCCGCGTCAGTATCAGCATCAGCATGATCATCAGCATCATCACCATCAGCATCAGCATCAACATCATCAGCATCAGCATCAGCATCGGCATCAGCATCACCAGGATCAGCAGTATCACCACCAACATCAGCATCAACATCAGCAGCAGCATCATCATCAGCACCAGCAGCATCAGCATCAGCAAGAGCATCAGGATCAGCATCAGCATCATCAGCAGCAGCATCAGTAGCATCATCATCGGCATCCGCATCGGCAGCATCAGGTTCATCATCATCATCATCGTCACCATCAGCATCATCGTCATCATCATAAACAGCGTCAGAATCAACAGCAGGGTCAGCATCAGCATCAGCATCATCAGCACATCGTCATCAGCATAAGCATCAGCATCATCATTGT